TTTGACACTCCTGCTCTAGAGCATTCACTGTGCAGCCTGGCACTGCATCTAGAGCATTCACTGTGCAACCTGGCACTGCATCTAGAGCATTCACTGTGCAGCCTGGCACTGCATCTAGAGCATTCACCATGCAGCCCGGCACAACATCTATAACATTCACCGTACAGCCCGGCACTGCATCTAGAACATTAACTGCGCAGCCCAGCACTGCATCTTGTCATGCTTGTGTGGCCACACTCGCTGGCTATTGTGTCAGTTATAATCAGGGGCGAACAGATTGCTTGTCAGCCTGTGACTGAAGAACAGAATAACAGTGTGTTCTTACTGTGGTAAGAACCCCTGCTCCATTCCACAGATTTGTTCTTGTATATGCATAAGGGTACTGTTCTTGTGCCAATCATCATTAAGATCTAAAAGTGCGTCCGTGCGTCAGATGAGCTGCGTACCTTGGTTGGAGCTGTTGGATGGGAATCGGTCTGACTTCTTCAGGGTTCTGAAGTGAACGCGCTTGCTTGCCTGGCTCTCCCCATAGAGTCCGATGGACTGAACCTGGATGATGTAATCCGTCTCCTCCTCCAGATCCCAGAGGACGCAGGTGCGGCTAGTGGTGTTGACCTCCCTGATGAACCTCTGCATCTGGCCGTCCTGCCTCTGCAAAAGGAGCAAAGCGACCGGGCATCAGCAGGGTTCACTGCATCCACGCTGAGTTCAACCTAAGCTGTGCTAATCCACATAAACAAAATGCCTGATCCACATCACTCCCCTTGTTGCCTGGTGTTGATCTTCAATTTTTGCTAAATCCTATGGATTATGACATACAGTAGAAGGCCTGACTCAAAGCTTAACATGCTCCCTTCCAGTAGGCATCTGGTTTTCATCGCTACTGTGTAAAACAGCATCTCCTGTTTGTCCGCCTGCCACATTCCATCAGAAACTGCAAGGCTTTGGAGATAAATAATGCAATCAGGTGCGTATGAGGACTCATGGGGGGCGGTGATTTTTAAAATGGGGGAGGCACAGTGTCGACAGTATAACCAAAAAGATATTTGTTTCTTATTTTAGCCAATCAGCTACTTGCATGTAAATTCTACTCTCCTTTTTTTTCTGTAAGAAATTATCCTGTTATACCAGCATGGCTCCTTCTCAAGCAATTTGACCATTTTGAACAACAGACAGCTTAGTTAGTGAGCTAACTACAAAACTGCTGAAAATCACTGAACTTTCACTGAAAATTAAACAAATTGATCAAACTGGAAAACTCAATGATAATGATTTTATTTACAATATTTACAAATGCCAATGGTGAAAGGTGCCATACAAAATGATTAACTGTCAGTCTGGGTTGCAATAAAATGCTTTTGTGCACCAGTATGTAACAGAATCAATGAATACTGTGAGCCAACAACACCAACAGCATGTGAAACGTGTCAGTTGTGAGCATTACTGTTATTGGTAGTTTATCCTGTCTTGTCAATGCGTCTCCCAATCACCATGCAGAGAAGCCTGGCTTCCAGGCAGGTCTAAAATATCTGACTGGATGTCTATCTGTCCAATCAACGTTGTCTAAGTCAAAACAATGTAGGAAGCTCCTAGTGAAGCGTGGCGCCCGGGCAGGCTCCGAAAACACATCAGAGCATATTGATCAATAAGTTTTCATCTATTCTCCATTTAGACAAAGCTTGCATGAATCTTCCATAAACGTCCAGTGAAGCACGCTGTCAATGGACGTCTATGGGCTGTCTTTGTTCTAGATTCAAAAGGAAAATTAACGTACTGGTTGTCAAAAGCAACTCCCACAAAATAACCTGTGCTGTGGTTCATTTAGTAAGACAGATTACACTTTTAATTGCAAAATAAAATGAATTTACAAATTCAATTCTCCTGTCAATTTTTTTTGACAAATGTTGTGCTTCCCATGTAGTCTTAGAGAAATTGCTTGTGATACGGACGTATGAGGTCATCCGGACGGGAGGGACTCACCTGCTGCGAGATGGAAAAGCCAATGATGACATCCCCCTCGGGGACATCCCAAGACACGGTGGCCGAGTCTGCCCTCAGGTGCATGACGGAGACGTTGACAGGAGCTGGGGGGCGGTCTGCGAGATTGAAAGGCGGACAGAGGCGTGATGTGAAAGGTTGCGATAACTGCACACATCGTACGCGCTTTCCGTTTATCTGAGAAAGAGGAGGCTAGGGCCACACATTTGTTTGGGGGCCATCGAGATTTGGGAGCCCTCTGTTGGAAGTAAACAGTCACTACACGAAATAGTAAATAAACACATTTCTTATTTAGGAGATACTGAAGCAAAATGTTTTGCTAACCAACTACCTACCTACAATCTCCTGATTCTAGCTATTTATTTAGTTCTTGAAACATCTGGGGGCAGGGGATTCAAAATTATTTTTTGAGTGGGACCCCAGAAACAACAAAGCTGTGTCTATGCTCTCCCACGTGTTCGGAGGGCTTGTTCATGCGTTAACGTCTGCTGGGAGTTCTTCATTTAGCCATAACTCCATGGCAACCTCCTCGACAAACATCCCAAACCTCACGCCGGCTCATCTCCTGCCGAGTCCTGCCATCTAATTTTCTAAAATGGCAAATGATGGATGGACATTTTTAAATTCCATTTAAGAGAATAACTGGAGTGCGATATCCCGGCGGGTTCTGACAGAATGACGCTCACATCGCAAACTCTATTTCTGAAATTAGCTTTAATGACTCAGGCTTTTCATTTAATTATCATCCTTTGCATAAGTGTAGCAGGCAATTGGACTCAGTAATTCTCTCTTAAGTAATATCCATCCATTCATCTTCAAGCTCTTGCTCTCGTCAGGGTCACGGAGGGGAGAGAATCTACTTAGGTAATAGACTGCAGTTATAATTGCTTAGAGATTGACCTGTTATAGTCATGGAAAGGTAGAGATGTGTTTTCTAGAAGTCATTCCTACAGCACTGTTGAGGACAGTTAACAATTTAAGAACATATACCTGAAATGCAGACAATGGTCTTGTACTGTGTACCATATTCATGAATATAAAATTACTCTGTCTGACTGAATCAAGGTTTAGCTATTGGGGTCTGCTAACGACATTCCAGTGGCATTCAGAGTCTTATGTTAATTCGACTCCCAACTCTCAGACATTATTAGTCGATGTAAGCAAGGCAACGTTAGCTCCTACAGCTTTGTGCTAATGGGTAGCCAGAACACGTATGTCAAGCAGTCATTTTCATTTCAATACACAGGGCAAGAAAATGAAAGAGTCCATCACAAACACATTTTAAGTCCAAACACATTATGTAGACTGGACTATAGTGGCACCTTTATGAATTATTTTAATACAAGCATGTTGGCTGTTTCTTAAAAGGTAATACAGTATATAGCACATAAGCAGAAAGCAAAACGCAAACTTACAATATATTTGAGGGAAAAAAACTTCATTGTTTCATGAATAAAAGTCTCTTTCGAGTCCTGAGGCTGAATAACAGACCTACATTTCATGAAACACTTCCCAGATTCACAATTCCGACAAACCCTTCACCTTAAGCCCTCCGCTGTGATAAGAGCGGCGTTGGAGCGTTGTTATTGTCAGCGGCCTCACGTGTTTCTGCCGGTTGCATGTTCATGGACAAGCTGCCATTGTGGCTTACTGACGAAAAATGAAATTTAGAGAGAATCGCAAAATGTGATGTGTCTTCTCATATGAGCACAGCAGCTCCAGCAGGGACACTAATGTCAATCTCCTGATAACTGCTCCTGACAAGTTATTAGAAGAAATTCATAATAAATTCAGTTAGCTGGGCCAATATATATACGTACGTACGTACATGCACACGTACATGCATGTCCATTATAAAATCATAAATCTTTTTCACTTTAAATTGTTAATTTAGTACATAAAATCAAATGTTCCAAATAATTCTCACTATGTGATTATAACTCTACAATATATTTGCAGTTGCTGGATAAATATAATGACTTGAAAGCACCTTTTTTTGCACCATTCTGCACTTTTTGGTTTTACTACCCAATGGCGTGAGTAGATGAGCTTGGTTTCTGCTGAGGTATGAGATCTGATGCAGCATCATGATGGGACCCAGTCCAGCTTTAAGTGTGGAGGCCTCTCGCTGACTGTCGACACATAGATATGCCCTTTATCTACCTTGTTGTAAGTTGTCTCTGCAGCCACGCACGCGCACACACACACACGCACACGCACGCACACACACACACACATACCGCCTGCATGCGGCCAATGGGAGATGGATTTAGTGTGGGCCTCAAAGACCGCACTCTGCTTCAGTTAGTGAGCAAAAAGGTGAAACTGCGATCAGCACACTGACGTCAAGAGGCAGAAATTGGGAAGCTACGTTCGTCTCGGTGTATGTGCCTGAGCATCAGAAAGGGGTGAGAAAACAGCAGAACGAGGGTCATTAGAGACCAGCTCTCATCTAACTGCGTCTCCTAATCTCATATCGTTCTCTGGAGGGTCTTTTCAGTGAGTAACAGCCAGGCGGGGGTCAAAGCAGTGAGGCCACCATATTGTAAATTGTCATTAATTGCTTAATTATACCTCAGATGAACACAGCCCTTTCGGAGCTGCATAAATACCATATCACTGTCACAAGCCTCCATGGTTAATGGGAGTCTGGCTGACTACCTGCTCGGGTGGGCATGCCAGCCAATCGCAAGCCCCTCTGCCGTCACGTGACCGTCTCCCAATAGTCACCTCCTGAGACATGCCCCCTGGCATGTGTTTTATGTACATTCATCAAACGTCGACATTTAGAGCGGAAAAGAATAAAGGCGAGTCTCGCTTTGAGTCACATTCATCCTACCCGTATCTGACCTTGTACGGTTAGAGAAACACTGATCCGTAAAGATCCAAAGTCAGCCATGGCTGATTTATTGAAATTTATTTGTGGTTAGTTTACAGATTTATGGACTTGTCATTATTACTAATATTTAGGTTCTCCAGGCCATGTCATACCATGTAGGTACAGGAAAATGGACTGCATGGTTATTTACCGGATCATATCCCTGGAACGTTCCAGAAACAGAATGCTGGCAAGTACACTAGGAACAAAAAACAATCAATAAAACGGGCATTGAAATGTAATTGTGTTCCCGTGCTTGCCAGTTAATTCAAAAAGAGAGCATTTATGCATGATTTATATTCCATATTGCAGTGTAAATATTCTTAAGTGTAATGTAAATTTAAGAAATTCTGGGGGGGTGAGAGCTTTGGTCACGTGTTACCTTAGACCAGGGGTCACCAACTCCGGTGCTGGAGGGCCACTATCCAGTAGGTTTTCTATCCTACCTGGCTTCTGATGAGCCACACTAATTCTCAGGTAAATACCAGGAGCAGATGTGGCTCCATAGCAGCCCTCCAGGACCGGAGTTGGTGACCCCTGCCTTAGACGGCAGTCTTGAGGCTGACACACCTGGAAGTTAACGTGCTGCAGGGTTTGTGTATGCCTCAGCATGACAAGCCGGGCTGCTCTGGAACGTCATAGTAAATATACACTCAGTGACAAAAAAGCACCCAGAAGTAATGGTCAATGTAATTTGGTACACGAGCAGACCGGCGATGGGTATGTAAATTATTCGATTTGCAAGGAGGTGGCACGTCTAGTCACCAGACACAGAGGATGCCTCATAGACGCATTAGACAGCATTATCAGCACTTGACGGAGTTTGATAGGGGTCGCATTGTGGGTTTGCATGAGGCCGGGAGGTCGTATTGTGTAATTGCCCGGCATGTGGGGCATGCAGATGTGACAGTCACCTGATGTTGGAACCAATGGGCATGAGACGGCACCCACACACATCGTGACCAAGGGAGGATCATTGTATTGTAGGGCAAGACTTACGGAACCCATGACATTCACACCTGCCATCCAGACACAGGTATTGGATTCTCTGCAACACCCCATGTCATCCCACACTGCGTCTCGACGACTGGAATCAGCTGGACTATGGGTTCACCGTCTCGTGCGTAGGCTGCTGTTAACACCAGCACAGAGACGGCTGCGTTTGGAGTAGTGCTGTAACTGGGAGGCATGGACTGATGACGAGTGGCGTCGTACCATGTTCAGGGATGAGTCTCGGTTCTGCATTACCATGGATGACCGTCGTGTGCGTGTATGGCGGCGCAGAGGGGAGAGGACCAATCCTGCCAATGTTGTGGAGAGACACACCAGCGTTACTCCTGGCATCATGGTGTGGGGAGCCATAGGGTATGACTTCAGGTCATCTCTGGTAGTGACCCGGGGGACCCTGATGGCACAGTGTTACATCAGTGACATCCTGCGTCCGCATGTCTTACCCCTCCTGAGACAGCACCCTGGTACAGTCTTTCAACAAGACAATGACCATCAACACATGGCACGTGTGTCTATGGACTGACTGCGTCATGCTGAGGTCCTCCCAACTCAGACCCAGTGCCAATCTGAAGGATCTAGAGGGCCAGTTACAACAGCTGTGGGCCAACTTGCCACAAGAGAGGATACAACAGCTGTATGACTCCCTTCCACACTGTATCACCGCATGTATCCAGGCCCGGGGGGGTGCCACACCCTACTGACATGGGACCAGCAGTGTGCCCATACTGCCAACTCTGTTGTCCATTTGATCTGATATTATAATCAATGTGATACAGTCACATGACCTTTCACCACGTGCAGATTCATTTCATTTCCAGTGCTTAACTTTTTTTGTCACTGAGTGTATTTAAAACAAACATTACTACTCACAACCATGAACAGGATTTGCAGCTTGAAGATAGATGGATGGATGTAATAAGTTATCACATCAGTATGCACGGTGTTTTACAGCAGGTTGCCACACCCACCAAACCACCTCAGGGATGAGAACCCAAGTGCAGCTGTGCAGCAGGTGATACCTCAGAACCACACTAGACCAAATCAAACAGTGAGAGTTTTTTTGGAGTTACAATCCTGCCACCAACCTCCAAATTTAACCCTGTAAATTGGATGAGCTGCTTGCAGGGCTGGATGTAGATTAACATCATACGCAGGACACCACGATTGCCGGTTAAGGGCCTTGCTCAAGGGCCCAATGGAGTAGGATCA